GCAAGCTCCAACTCTTGGGCTTAAGCAATTCTCTTGCCTCAGCCTCCTAAGTAGCTGGGACTACAGGCGCACACCACAACACCTGGCCACTTTTTTTTTATGTTGCGGTTGTTGAATTGGCGTGAGCCAGGTTCAAACCCATCACGCTTGGTGTATGTGGCTGGCACCATAACCACAGTGCTATAGGCACTGAACCTGATTTAACTTTTATTTGCCCAAACTTCCACATAATAAAAGAAGGCTCAGTTTAAAACTCTCAGTTAATCATTCATGTAATTAAAAATCTTGCTGTGATTCAGATAGAAGATTCACTTGCATGAGGCAATAATTGTTTGGAAACTATAGAGGCATAGAGATTGGATTATCTTGTACTCCCATTGACTTTTGGGGTAATATTGTTTACCTGAGAACTTCAGAGCAGTAGGCAATAAATTATTATATTTTTAAAAACTTCTCAAAATCAAATTGGTCTGGGAATTGCCTGGGCAGTGGCTCAAAAGAGTAGGGAGCTGGCCCCATATGCTGGAGGTGGTGGGTTCAAACACAGCCCCAGCCAAAAACTGCAAAAAAATCAAATTGAAAGGGTGAAATTATATTCTGTTTTAGTATTTATGAACAGGTTAGATTAAGTTTAGTTTTTATGTCCTTACTTTAAGTGAACAAATAAAACAGATGTTTCTCAGTCTAACTGTATCTTTTCCAGATCAAGTTTTCACCAGTTGCTAAAAAGTTGCTTGTGGTCACTGCGGTGAGTGCCGTATCTGTAATCTTTCTGGCCCATCACTTTAAAAGAAAACGTGGAAAAAAGAAAGGAAAAATATTGCCATGGGAACCAGAGCACATCATACTTGAATACACTAAAAGAGCAGCTTCAGACAAAGGTATGTGGACACAGCTGAATTTCTTTTGTAGACTGTTAGGTGATGTTCTTTCTCGCGTGGAGAGAAGGACGGCTTGGCTACGGGTGCAAGCTCGCTCCTAGAATTGTTTAAAAGCAAGAAACAACTACATACTCTTAAATGGCATGTAGCAAAATGTCTTTATCTTTCACTCCCTTTTATTGGGAGCTAGTCAGTACACCACATTGATCAATAATCCTAACATCCTCAATTCTTATTTTAAACTATAGAAAAGAAAGAAAGACCGGGAAAGTGAGATAACCATCATAAGATTAGCCTAAAGAAAGAAAGCCGGGGAAAGTAAGACAACCATCTTAAGCTAGCCTCAGGCTGTTCCTCTCTGAAGACCTAAAAGAATTATACATTATCTGACTTCTGTTGTTAAAGTTAAAGGTCAGGATAAACAGAGGAGTAAAACCTTTTTCTTCTATGTACTCAATTAAATTTCCGAGAAACAGGCTCCATGACTGTTTTCTTATGGTTTGGAGACCCCACAGTTACGATGGAGTATTTTACTCACATCATTACCATGAAGTTTTTCTTTTCACTCACATCAACCTTTGAGTCATGTCCTCTGCAGATGGGCCCTTTCAACCCTTATCTGACAGGCTAACTTGACTACACAGTTGGGGTTCCTGTAGGAGGTTTTTTTTTTTTTTTTAGGTTTTTGGCCGAGGCTGGGTTTGAACCCACCACCTCTGGCATATGGGGCCGGCGCCCTACTCCTTGAGCCACAGGTGCCACCCCCTATAGGAGGTTGTTAAGCCTGGCCTGCAGGCCCCCACTGTGTTTTCCCAGGTCTTTAGGTCTCGACAAAAGTGCATAATACTCACAAGTCTTTTTGCTCAGTTTCTGGAATTAAAAGAGCACATTTCATTTAATTTTTGTGGGAGTTTACCCCACATAGACTTACAAAAGAAATCTTGTGTGTAAATCATAACAATCCCTGGAGTGCAGGGATTTCAGTATTACAGTTTTAAAACTTTCTTCCTTATGTTTAACTCATAAGTAATATAGATTCCTGTTAGAAAGATTAGAAAATATAGATAAGCAAATTGAAAAAATTAAAGTCACTTGAAATTCTGCTTCCCATAAATAGCTACTGATAATACTTTTATTTTTGCATTTATATTTGCATTTAAATACTATATTGAGACATAAAATTTTATATTATATATAAATTAATTGTTCATATATTTTAAGTAAAATTGTGATTAGATGTTTTGTAACCTGCTTTTTTTTTTTATCTTACAAGTAACCTGCTTTTAAAATATTAATAGTGTACAAGAATGTCTTTCTCCGTGCTGTCATTTTAAATATATAATTAGTGTTAAGTGTATTTAATCATTTTCCTGTTATCTCTGTTAGGATATTTGTGTTTTTCTTATTTTCCATACACTTGTCTCTTTACTTAGCATGTAAAAGTCTAGAACTTAAATAGCTGTCCTTGAAAGCAGCATTCCCTGACCTTTTTGGCAGCAGGGACTGGTTTCATGGAAGACAGTTTTTCTATAGGCGGGGTGGAGAGGGAGGAATGGGGTAGGAGATGGAGATGAGGTGGTGATGCCAGTGATGGGGAGGGGCTGGAGATACCCCCGAAGCTTTGTTTGTTTACCTGCTGTGCAGCCTGATTTCTTAAAGGCCACAGACTAGAACCTTTTTGTCACCATGAACCAGTTTCATGGAAGACAGTTTTTCCGTGGAAAGGGGAGGGTTATTGTTCCACGGCCTGAGAGTTTGGGACTGCGGGTTTAAAGGGCCAGTAAGTTTTATTAGCAATATTCCTACATTTTGTTAATAAAAATGATTTCTTAAGCATGCTGTATTTCTTAGTTTCTTGCTATTTAGTCTGCTTTTGTGATTCTTTTGTCTAGAAAATAAAAGATTGACTATATCATGCCAAATACAGTGAACATTACAGCAGTTAATGATAGCCGATCAGTTACTGTGATTTTATTAGGCATCAACTGAGCGCTGTATATTCAGTGCTTTATGTAACCTTACAACAATCCTGAGAATTAGGACTATAATCCCATGTTACTGCTCCGATGTTTTACATAAAGAAAATTGAGATATGAAAAAGTTGGATGATTTTTTTCCAAGGTCAGGTAAGTGCTAAGATTTGAATCCATGAATGTCTTCACTGCTACGTTAAGATAAACTAAGAAAAGGCTGGGTGCAGTGGCTTGCACCTGTAATTCTAGCACTCTGGGAGGCTGAGGCAGGTGGATTCCTTGAGCTCAGGAGGTTGAGACCAGCCTGAGCAAGCGTAACACCCGCCTCTAATAATAGGAAGGCATTGTGATGGGCTCCTATAGTCCCAGCTGCTGGGGAGGCTGAGGTAAGACGCTCACTTGAGCCCAGGAGTTTGAGGTTGCTGTGAGGTATGACACCATGGCACTCTTCCAAGGCTGACAAAGTGAGACTCTGTCTCAAAAAAGAAAAAAGAAAAACTGAGGCATGATGTCGGTCCTAGAAGAATAGATAGATGGGTGGAGGAGAGAGATATATAAAATGCTAATCACAGAGTTGGCCTGGAGTTTGAGACTGCCCTGAGCAACAAAATTTTTCTATACAAAAATTAGAAAAATTGGGAGGTATGTATATGTAATCCTAGCTACTTGGGAGGCTGAGGCAAGAGGATCTCTTGAGCCCAGGAGTCTGAACTTATAGTGAGTATGGCAATACCACTACACTCTAGCCTGGGAAATATAGTGAGACTCTGTCTTAAAAAATAAAATGAAATTTAGAAAAGCTAATTATAACGTTATGCAATACTGAATAGGTTTATGTGTAATTCAGGAAAAGAGATATTTACATTTTATTAAATTTACAATTTAAAGGTTTATATTTGCCAATTTTTTTTTTTTTTTTTTTTTTTTGAGACAGAGCCTCAAGCTGTCCCCCTGGGTAGAGTGCCGTGGCATTACAGCTCACAGCAACCTCCAACTCCTGGGATCAAGCGAGTCTCTTGCCTTCGCCTCCCAAGTAGCTGGGACCACAGGCGCCCGCCACAACGCCCGGCTATTTTTTGGTTGCAGCCATCATTGTTGTTTTGGCGGGTCTGGGCTAGGGATTCGAACCCGCCACCTTAGGTGTACGTGGCTGGCGCCTTAGCCGGTTGAGCTATAGGCGCTGAGCCATTTGCCAATTTTTAATACTGATTATAATAGATAATTCACATACTACCCTAATTAATTAGGTGAATGTATTACTCTTCATTTCAGCAGATTTTAGCAGCGTTAAAAACATATAGAGATATACATTTTAATAAAGGTGTACATTTAGTCATTTACAATTGAGTGAAATGTTTTAAAATCAGAAACTTTCTGAATGAATATAATATAAACTTTGAAATTCTACTTAAAATTTATAATTGGGGTTATTGATACTTTTAATATTAGTATGTTTTTTTGATAGGTTCAAGTTGTTCCAGTAGTAGACAGAATTTGACATTATCGTTGAGTTCCAACAAAGAAAAAGGATCTCAGTCTTGTAACTATGCTAATGGAGGACTTTTCAGTAAATACTCGGGTTCTGCACAGAGTTTGGCCTCCGTAAGTAAAGAAATAATATTATTTTTTATGTTTGTATATCTGTCTCTTATAATCTAGTAGTTAAGTGTCATATACTTATAGTTCTCAGAATGAAAAGAAACTTAAAAAATCATCTGGTTGAATCTGGTTGAATCTGCTTTGTTCAGGCAAGTAAGTATCAGCCAGTTTGGTTCCAGGTTTCTTTGTGTATGTCATATGGTCCCATGAAGTCCTAGGAGAAAGGTGGTGTTGTTGTGGAAGTGGTACATCAAAATGACATGTTCTCCTGGCCAGGTGTGGTGGCTCACATCTGTAATCCCAGCAGTCTGGGAGGCAAAGATGGGTAGATTGTTTGAGCTCAAGACTTTGAGACCAGCCTGAGCAAGAGCAAGATGCCATCTCTGAAAATAGCTGGGTGTTGTGCGGGTGCCTGTAGTCCCAGCTACTTGGAGGCTGAGGCAGGAGGATTGCTTGAGCCCAAGAGTTTGAGGTTGCTGTGAGCTATGACACCATGGCACTCTACCAAATGTGACCAAATGAGACTCTTGTTTCAAAAAAAAAAAAAAATTAGATGTCTGTAAGAAGCTGGACAGTGCAGCCAGACATTACCCTCGGTTGCAGTAATCCCCCAATGAGCCTCTTTAGGTAAAAGTGTTTGTTTTGCTGAAGCCACGTGGGAAGTTCTTCACCTTCTTTGGAACATCAGTGTAGTGTTGACTGACAAGCAGGAGGCCTTCCTTTTTTTGGAGCATTAATATGTTATTAAGAATTGACAATTAAGGAATGATGTTAGTATTTATTTAAATCTTATGTAGTTTAAACATCAATTAAAAAAGTAAATAGGATATATATTTGCTACTGAAGACAGAAGAAGCAAAAAATATATACAGTAAGAGCCAGGCATGGTGGTGGATGCCTGTAGCTATTCGGAAGGGTAAGGTAGGACGATCACTTGTACCCAGGAGTTCTAAGTTCTGTGCCAGCCTGGACAACAAATGCAACCCTATATCTTAAAAAAATATGTTCTCAATCCACTTAATTGGAGATAAAGAACATTGATTTTTTTTTTGGGGGGGGGGGACAGGAGCTCACTTTGTCACTCAAGCTGCAGTGCTGCAATCAAAACTTACTACAGCCCCTAAATCCTGGCCTTGAGTGATCCTCCTACCTCAGCCTCTTAGGTAACTGGGACTACAGGTGTATGCCATCATGCCCAGTTATTTGTATAATTTTTTGTAGATAAAAGGTTTTGCTTTGTTACCCAGGCTGGTCTTGAACTCCTAGGCTCAAGTTACCCTCCTGACCTGGCCTCCCAAAGTGCTGGGATTACAGGATCAAATGACTCCCAGACAATAGTTTCTTTTGTATGCTTCCAAGAAATGTGTGCCACTATCATCATGTATGGTTACTTTTTCTCTTAGTAGTTTATAGAACACCATATTCTGTACCTTCTATGTTTCACTGGAATATATAGTTGCCTCAATGTGGAATGCCTATCAAATTCTAAATTTTTAACTGCTTGGCCAGGCCCAATGGTTCACGCCAGTGATCCTAGCTCTCTGGGAGGCCAAGGTGGGAGGATCTGTTGACCTCAAAATTTCAAGACCAACCTGAGGAAGTGTGAGACTCATCTCTACTAAAAATGGAAAAATTTACCAGGCATGTGGTAGGCACCTGTAGTGCCAGCTACCAGGGGGACGAGGCAGGAGGGTGACACCATGAGTGAGGCTGACACCATGGCACTCTAGCCTGGGCAACTGAGTGAGATTCTGTTTCATAAAAAAGCTTTGCAAAGGTGGGAGCATCTAGGTGAAAGGCCTGCAGACTTGATTCCTCTGTGAAACTGAGAAGATAATGAAGTGGATGCCTATTCTAGAATGCTGACTTCCTCAGTATCTGAGAAGTACCTCTGTTTTGAATTTCCTCAACCGAAAGTTGAAGCTGGTCTTCTCGAGTGGAAGTAGATGAAGGCAGTTACGTGTTAATAGAGTGAGTGACAAGCCCTCTGCTTGTCTAGCTTACAGTCATCTCTCTTCCTGGGTGCTGAATGTACATGACATAAAAATAACTGCCTGATTTTTCATGGAAATAAGTGATATTCAAAATATCCTAATTTATGTATTTTTGAACAAACAGGCTCAGTATTTAGGGTTATATGACCCCTAGGTTTGATTGAATATAATCAGAATTGTTTCTTCAGATGGAATTAAATGGAGTGTTTTGTCAATAGTAAGATTTATATAAATAATTTATAAATATAAAAAAATCACAACATACTGGCTAGCCATAGTGGCTCATGTCTGTAATCCCAGTACCTTGGGAAGCTGAGGTAGGAAGATGGCTTGAAGCTAGGAGTTCAGTTCCAGCTGGGCAACATATTGAGACCCTGTCTCTACAAAACATACAAAAATTAGCCCAGTGTAGTGGTATGCTTATAGTCCTAGATACTTGGAAGGCTGAAGCTGGAAGATTGCTTGTGTCCAGCTGTCTAAGTTTGCAGTGAGCTATGATTGTACGTCTGCACTATAGCCTGGACAGTAGAGCAGGACCCTGTTTCTAAAAAGAAAAAAAGAAAGAAAGAAAAAATTCAAAGCCTTCTATCATAAGAGATTTTGAAGTAACTTCTCTCTGTCTTAATTTTAGGTCCAGAGTGTCAATTCTTGTCATAGCTGTGCTTGTGGCAATTCTAACTCCTGGGACAAAGCTGATGAAGATGATATTAAACTTGTTAATATCCCTGTGACCACTCCTGAGAACTTATACTTAATGGGTAGGAATAATGTGATAAAGTTTTAAGATGCTGTACTCATATTTAATTTGAAACTAAAACAGTGAATTGTTCTATGTGAAACAACTATAATTTTAAAATGTTCATAAGTCTATTGAATCTGGTCTAACATAGCCCATTATTTTAGTTTCCTGAGGGTACTATAAGAAATTATCATAAACTTGGTGACTTAAAACAATAGAAATTTACTCAAGAGTTTTGGAGTCCCTCTGGAGGCCTTGGGGAGAATTCATTCCTTGCCTCTCCAGGTTTTGGTATTTGTCAGTATCCCTTGGCTTGTGGCCACATCACTCAAGTCTCTGCCTTCATGTTCATATCACATTCTCCTCTGTGTGCATCAAACTCCCTCTCTCTCTCTCTTACAAGGACATTTTTTATTAGATTTAGTGCCCACATGATGATCTAGGATAATCTCCCTATGTTGGGATTCTTAGTCACATCTGCAAACAACCTTTTTCCTTATAAGGTAACATGTAGGGGTTCTAGGAATTAGGATCTGATATCTTTGGGTAGCCATTATTCAGCCTACTACACTAACCTTTCCTAATCTGTTGGCTCTTTTCTGATGAATCTGTCAGAAAGCACTTTAGTTCATCTATTTTATGTAGGCTGTCATTTGTATTCTTTTTATATCCAGAAAAAAATGTAAATGGAAGGCCTTCATACTTAGTAAAAGTCAGATAAAAAAGGAAAGATAGAAAAGGCCTTCTGAGCATCATATCTCAGTGGGCCTTTTGGCTTGAGCCTGTGTGAAGAGCCTACCTGGAGCCATGGAGAGGAACCAAATGAACCTATTGCTGAATGAGAAGATTCAAACGCTCTTCCCTATTTTTCTCCACTCTATTATTTCAAGCTATCTTTCTTTCAGTGGAAATGTGTGCAAAATACAAAAACAGAAGAACCTTGACGTGGCACTGGTCGGTGGGCAGTAGGGGGTGATGACGAGCAGGGGGGCTGCTTGTTTCTGATGTTGTTTCCATACTCGAGAAGAGTTAGACTGTGTCATCGTCAGCACTGTCACCATAGGTGCTGCTTCTGTAGGAGAGAAGAGGAGTTCTTTCACTGCCTTTTCCAAAAGTCTCTGGAGTATTAAGCTCACTACATTTCTAGATTTCTCTATGTCTAATAAACGCACAGCTTTTGTTAGAATATTGGAAGTTTGAATTAATGTGAAATAGAGCAAAACTGGAGATGCTATAGGGAATGTAATTCCAGAATTGAGGTTGGGGCTGGGCATGGTGGCTCACACCTGTAATCTCAGCACTTTGGGAGGCCGAGGTAGGAGAATTGCTTGAGATCAGTTGAGAGCAGCCTAGGTAACATAGTAGCGAGACCCTGTCTCCATCACACATACACACACAAAATTAGCCCAGTGTGGTGGCTTATGCCTGTAGTGCTAGTTAGTCCTGGTTACTCAGGAGCCTGAGGCTAAAGGACTGCTTGAGCCCAGAAGTTGGAGCCTGCAGTGAACTATTATTTTGCCACTACCCTCCAGTCTGGGTGACAGAATTGTCTCTCAAAAACCAAAAACATTGGTAGGAGCCCTATGGATTGCCCTAGGCCTGTCACCCATCTGTTCTTTCATTTCCCTTTACAAAATTGATGACATTAAAAGATCGGTGACATATGTGTGACTTCTTGTTACAAGAGATGTGTGAGGTGGGAAACAGGACTTCCAAAGGAAGCAGTTTTTACCTCTGCACAACTTTGCTATTATAATTCTCCCTGTGTTCATGCTAAATAATTTGTATAGGGAGGGGATAGTGTGAGAAAGGATGAAAGAATTAACGTTATATTGCTTGGAGAAAGGAGGGTAGATAGTGAGATCCTTGTCTTTTACCCACACAAGTATTTGTAGGAGGAAGATGAGAAGGTTGTTCTTGGCTGTAGAAAATTAAGCAAGAAGGAAAGGCTGACACTGCATTTAAAGAAATTTGTTCAGGGTGGCACCTGTGGCTCAAGAAGTAGGGCGCCAGCCCCATATGCTGGAGGTGGTGGGTTCAAACCCAGCCCCAGCCAAAAACTGCAAAAAAAAAAAAATAAAATTTGTTCAGAATTGTAGGTTCTACAGATGATTGAAATGACTTTTGAGGAGAGGTTTTCTTTACCTACCATATATATATATTTTATTTTTTTTTTTTTTTTGCCACAGAGCCTCAAGCTGTCCCCCTGGGTACAGTGCTGTGGCATCACAGTTCACAGCAACCTCCAATTCCTGGGCTCAAGCAAGTCTCCTGCCTCCGCCTCCCAAGTAGCTGGGACCACAGGCACTCGCCACAACGCCTGGCTATTTTTTGGTTGCAGCCATCATTGTTGTTTGGCGGGACTGGGCTGGATTCGAACCAGCCACCTTAGGTGTATGTGGCTAGCGCCTTAGCCTCTTGAGCCACAGGCGCCAAGCCTACCTACCATATCTTAAAACAGCAGTTCTCAACCTGTGGGTCGCGACCCCAAGACCATACTGCATATCAGATATATACATTACGATTCGTAACAGTAGCAAAATTACAGTTATGAAGTAGCAACAAAAATAATTTTATGGTTGGGGGTCACCACAACATGAGGAACTATATTAAAGGGTCACAACATTAGGAAGGTTGAGAACCACCATGTTAAAACCATCTTAAGACTAACTTACCCCTGTTCTTAAGCAGCTTTTAAAGATCTTTTTCTTACGTGTGTGTAGAAAAAGTTGAAGATTTAAAACATTTTGGTTTGGGGCTGAGCTCATGCCTGTAATCCCAGCACTTTGAGAGGCTGAGGCAAGTAGATTGCTTGAGCTCAGAAGTTTAAGACCAGCCTGAGCAAGAGCGAGTCCCCATCTCTACTAAAAATAGAAAAACTAGCCAGGCGTTGTGCTGGGCACCTATAGTCCCAGCTACTTGGAAGGCTGGGGCAAGAGGATGATTTGAACTCAAGAGTTTGAGGTTACTGTGAGCTATGATACCATGGTACTCTGTCTCAATAAATAAGTAAATAAATGAAATACTTTGGTTTTGTTTGATGTATATAATTATTCTGGTTAAGTTTTTGTTTATATTTAGGGAAAGTGAGGCATATATTTACCTTTTCCCCACAAAAGGTTTCAGCAGAAATATAAAACTCCACATGGACTGTAACTAAGCCTTTATGGGCACAGTCAGTAGCTTGCTGTTATTTAACTCTGGCTCCCCGGTTTTTCCATCCAAATCATCAAGTTGGCATCACAGTGGTTTAGGACACCCTTGGGTGGGGGATTATAGTCCTTCGTTTTGGACTGTTATCTTTCCACTCAGCGTTACTATCTCCTTCTGACAGCTGGTAATGTTAATGTTGGTAGCTTCTTGTGAACTACTTTCTTTTATTTTCCCACCAGTTCTCTTTTTAACTTTGGAGGGTATTTTGAAACATAGTTATGTGACTATAAAAATTAGCTATTATTATTTAACATTTGATGAATTCATACTGTTTTAGGAAAATTTTAAGCAACATCTACATCTGAGTTGCATTTTTTAACAAATGGAAACATGGCTCAGCGCCTGTGGCTCAAGTGGCTAAGGTGCCAGCCACATACACCTAAGGTGGGGGGTTTGAATCCAGCCCGGGGCTGCCAAAACAACAATGAGGGCTGCAACCAAAAAAATAGCTGGGCGTTGTAGCAGGCACCTGTGGGAGGTTGAGGCAGGAGACTCACTTGAGCCCAGGAGTTGGAGGTTGCTATGAGCTGTGATGCTACAACACTCTACCCAGGGGGACAGCTTGAGGCTCTGTCTCAAAAAAAAAAGAAAAAAACAAATGGAAACATAATGACCACTTTTTATGTTACTTTTGTTTACCTAGAATCATAGGCCTAGAATGTATGTGGGGAAATTAAGCTCCTACTATCAAATGATGTGAGATGATTCTTTAGTATTGAAATTACAGTCAGGCTATAATTACAAGTCATTGTTGATGACTCTATGAAAACATTTCAGACCCCAAATAAGTTTGGGCATTGGTTTTGCTTATTTACAATTGTTGTGTTCTTAATTTTTAGGGATGGAATTGTTTGAAGAGGCGTTGCGTCGATGGGAGCAAGCTCTGACCTTCCGCAATAGACAGGCTGAAGATGAAGCCTGCGGTTCCATCAAACTGGGTGCAGGGGACGCTATTGCTGAAGAAAGTGTAGATGTAAGAACGATCTGTTTGAGAGTGGTTTCATAACATTAGAAGAATCAGACTAGTTTCACTGTTGATTTAGTGTATTTGCTGCCTGTGTATTTAATAGAACTGTGGTTTTTTTCTCCCATAGGACCATATGGAGTATTTTTTTTTTTTTTAGACAAAGTCTCAAGCTGTCACCCTGGGTAGAGTGCCATGGTGT